CATAATTGATGATTGGTAAATTACTGTGCTGCTCCATAATTGATGATTGGGAAAGTCACTGTGTGCCCTCTAGCTGAACCTTTTTAGTCAAATAACCTCAGTAAATTGGAATACTCCCTGAAACAAGAAATTGTTGGGAACCGGCTACCTGTCTGACAGAGTCCACGAAGCCTGGAGGTCTTGAGTCAGAGACTTGACCTCCCCCACAATCTCAAGGAATTAGGCTTGCATTGTGTTTGTGCAGCTCGGGACTAAGTGTGACCCAATGTACCTTGAAATACCTGGGTTCCTGGGTCTTCCTGTTATCCGCAAGGCAAAGTAATTCTATACAGCATTCCTGTGGCCCTGGACATTATATCAAGAAGATCCTATTTTCTGTAAGGCATAAAAGGCATGTAATAAGCATGTCGGGGCTGATTCCAAAGACTGTCACAGGGGTGTTCAGAATCAGATACAGGCCGGCTAATAAACGGCTCATATTTGGACTTCAATTCTCTAGTGGTCTTTCTTTGACTCTGTCGCACCACAACATTTGGAGGCCCCAGGTCTGGTCTCCGAGAACTTGGGACCAGTTGCAGGCCGGCTTTGCTCTCTATTTGGCTTTAATTTGGCTCTGGTGGTCTCTCGGTTCTCTCATGCCACAACAATAAGACTAAATGGCTTCTTATATCCTGTGTTTGGAAAAGGGAACAGGTTTTGCAGGAAGTATGTCCAGTTTGAATCCAGTTGAACAGGTATATAGTTTTGTACTGTGTTTTCTTTAGACAATGAAAAATCACTTGTTCTTCTGTTAAAGAGAATGCTTAAGTCCAAGGAAACAAAAAGCAGCAGCAGCAGCACTAGTCTACTGTTACTTAGCTGTGTGGTTTTGAAAGAGTTCCTTTTCTGCACCTATTTTAGCATTTATGACCTTAGACTCCATTGGTGTATTTTAACCTTAATAAGACCCTAATCTTTTTGAAAATGTAACAAAATTTTATCAATGCTCTCCTCCAAAATGTATATACACAATTTTGCACATAATTTCGGGGGATTCAAAATCCCCCAAACCAATCCATGAATTCCCTAGTAGAAACACTTGAACTAGATGTTAAGGTCATCTGAGCTCTGTACTTGGTGCCACTAATTACTTACAGTAAAAAGAAAGAGTAAACCACTTTGAGTTCTGTTTATGTTGCTTACACTATGGTTTTCACTCTAGAACCAACTATATTCTAAAAGATTGAAGCAAAAGCCTTTTTCAAGTCACAAGGTTCTTCTCTAAAATGTGTCAAATACTTAAGCAGGTAAAGTGTGACAATCTGGTAATTAATGCTGAATACAGTAAATATCCTGTTAGAGTGATGTTAAAATTAATTTTAAAAAACATTAAATGAGCACTAATTCTGGGGTAATAAGGCAGGGCACCAGAGGCATTCCAGGAGCAACAGACTGTACAAAGCACAGGATTTTGAAACAGTTTTATTCCAACTGTTTTTTTTCCTTTTTGGATGAGAAAATATTACTTCCACATTAAAATAAACAGATATGTCATGGAGTAAAATACAAAAAGACATTTTTTAAGATAAAATATAAGACTTCAAAGAAATGTCCTGCTTACTCATTCTTTTTAAATCCTCACCAGAGGATACTTTTTTCTATTTATCTTCAGAGCAGGGTTGGGAGTGGAGACATCGATGTCAGACACATCAACTGGTCACCTCTCACATGACCCCAAACAGGGCAGGGACAGAACTGAAACTGAGGTACATGCCCTTGACCGGACTTTAACCTGCAACTCTGGTCTGTGGGCCAATGCTCTAACTGCTGAGCCAAACTGGCTAGAGCTTACTCATTCTTTTTATATTTATTTATTTATTTATTTATCCTCACCTGAGGACATTTTTGCATTTATCTTCAGATAGAGTGAGAGGGAGAGAGGGAGGGAAAGAGAGAAATATCAATGTGAGAGAGACACATAGAGTGGTTGCCACCCACAGGACCCCAACCGGGGCCGGGGCCAAACTAAAACTGAGGTACATGCCTTTAGCGGAAACCGAACCCGGGACCCTGGTCCGTGGGCCCACACTCTAACTGCTGAGCCAAAAAGGCCAGGGATACTCATTCTTTTTAAAATTTATTTTTATTTATTTTAGAGAAAGGAAGATAAAGAGAGAAACACTGATTTGTTACTCCACTTATTATGCATTCTTTGGTTGATTCTTGAATGTGCCCTGACTGGAGATTGAACCCGAAACTTTGGCATATATGGAGGACACTCTAACCAACTGAGCTACCTGGCCAGGGCCCTGCTTGCTCATTCTTTGTCCCACGCCCAGGGGACACCCACCTGAGCAATTCACACTCCTCTGACCTTAGTGGTTCCGGGGAGGTAAAACTCAAGAAACAGCTCAACCAGTGTGGCTCAGTGTATTGAGCATCATCCCATGGACTGGGAGGTCCTGGTTTGATTCCTGGTCAGGGCACCTGCCTGGGTTTCGGGCTCAATCCCCCAGTAAGGGACATGCAGGAGGCAGCTGATGGATGTTTCTCTCTCACATCGATGTTTCTATCTCACTCCCTTCCTTTCTCTAGAAAATCAATAAAAAAACATATTAAAAAGTCAGGAAACAGTATCATTGGCAAATATGCTCTTCCATACAGTGGGGTCCCTTTTCATTTTGATGCTGGTTTCTTTTGCTGAGCAGAGCCTTTTAGTTTGATATAGTCCCATTTATTACTTTCCTTTGTTTCTCTGGCCCTTGGCCATGTATCAGTGAAAATTCTGCTACTTGTGATGTTTGAGATTTTGTTGCTTACATTTTCTTCTAGGATTTTTATGGTTTCAGGACTTATATTTAAGTCTTTTATCCATTTTGAGTTTTTTCTTGTGTATGGTGTAAGTTGGTGGTCTAGTTTCATTCTTTTTGCATGTACCTGTTCAATTTTCCCAACACCATTTACTGAAGAGACTATCTTTATTCCACTGTATGTTCTTATCTCATTTGTCAAATATTAGTTGAGCTTTGTCAAATATTAATTGAGCATAATGTTTTGGGTTGATTTCTGGTTTCTCTATTCTGTTCCATTGATTTATATACCTATTCTTCTACCAATACCAGGCTGTTTTGATTACAATAGCTTTGTAATATAATTTTATATCCAATACTGTGATCCTTCCAATTTTGTTCTTCTTTTTCAAGATTTCTGTGGCTATTTGGGGTCTTTTTTGGTTCCATATAAACTTTCGGATAAGGGGTTAGTTTCCAAAATATATAAAGTACTCATACAACTCAACAAAAGAAAGACACACAATCCAATTGAAAGATGGGCAAAGAACCTATATAGACACTTCTCCAAACAGGACATACAAATGGCCCGAGAATATGCATATACATGCACAACCAACTGACATAGACATTAGTTTAGGGAAAGCAGGTGTTGGGAATGGGAGAGGGAAGGGGTTAATGGGAGAAAAAGGGGGGGACATCTGTAATACTTTCAACAATAAACAAATTTTAAAAGTTTTTTTTTTTTTTAATCCTCACCCGAGGACACTTTTCCATTTTTTGTTCAGATAGAGTGGGAGTGAGAAAGAGAGAAACATCGACATGAAAAGGACACATTGAGTGGTTGCCACCCGCACAACCAACCAGGGCCAGGGACAAACTGCAACCGAGGTACGTGCTCTTAGCTGGAACCAAACCCGGGTCTCTCTGGACCGCAGGCCAATGCTCTAACCGCTCAGCCAAACTGGCCAGGGCTTAAAAAGTATCTTTATATTAATAAAAACAAAACAAATGGCCCAGAGACATATGAAAAAATGCTCAACATCACTAATCATCAGAGAGATGCAAATTAAAATGACTATAAGGTATCACCTCACACCTATCAGAATGGCTGCCATCAACAAATCATCAAACAACAAGTGCTAGTGAGGGTGTGGAGAAAAGGGGACTCTAGTACACTGCTGGTGGGAATGCAGACTCGTGCAGTCTATGGAAAATAATATGGTATTTCCTCAAAAAATTAAAAATTGAACTGCCATTTGACCTAGTGATCCCACTTCTCAGAATATATCCTAAGATGCCTGAAACATCAATCAGAAAGAACATTATGTACCCCTGTGTTCATAGCAGCGCTATTTACAATCGCTAAGATCTGGAAACAGCCCAAGTGTCCATCAGTAGATAAGTGGATAGAAAAGCTGTGGTACATATACACAATGGAATACTATGCAACTAAGAAAGATCTCTTACTCTTTGAGACGACATGGAGACACCTGGAGAGCATTATGCTAAGTGAAGTAAGCTGGTCAGAAAAAGATAAGTATCATGATCTCACTTATATGTGGAATCTAGTGAACAAAGGAAGCTGATGAATAAAATAGATCCAGGGACATGGAAGTAGGGAATAGACTAACAAATCTCAGAGGGAAGGATGGTGGAAAGAGATAAATTAAAGAATTTATACGCATGTATACATAACTGATGGACACAAACAACAGTGCTGCGAAGGGTGTGGGGGGGGAAAGGGAGGAGGGTGTCAAAGGGGGAAAAAAGGAGGAATATCTGTAATAATAATAAAGATAAATTTTAAAAACAGTCAAGAAATAGTAAATAAATAATTAAAATGGTAAAATGACGTCTGACTTTGTAACATAAAAAGGTAACTACTACAAAGCAAATAAGTTACTATAAAATAGTGAATGACTTCACCAGTTTCCCAGAGACTGAGAATTAATTTTACAGCATTTCTGTGCGTAGGTAGTGTTTACATGAGGGGTCGCCAAAATGCACAGAAGACAAGGCCTTCCTCTTGCTACAATGACAACCAAAGCATCCAAAGTGAAGTCATTTCTATAAGACTGAGCATCACCTAAAACAAACCTGAGTTAAACACAAATATGTACTGACAGTTTAGAACACCAGAGAACAAATGTTCTTGGGAACAAAAGGGTGTAAGTGCTACAGAATTAGTACTAAATGGGGTTTAAAGAATAGACACTGACATGCATCTACCTCCTGCTTGTCAAATAGACCTGCTGTGGCGTTTATGAGACGAATTACACATTCCAAGGTTTATTCTATTGGTTTCCGAAGATGTAATTTCTAACACATCCCTGGATCTCCAAATCTCATGAAAATCTGAAGTGTAAATTAAGGTCATCTTGCTTTTAATAACGTCTGACTTTGCACCCAAGCTGTGGAGGTGGTGAAACTTAGCAAGATTTCTTCCTGGAACGCTGACCAAGGATGCGCCTTTCTTCCTCAAGAAGTCTTCACATCCTTCCAGCAAAGCGCCCTAGTCCCTCCCCAGGATATACCACAACGACGGCCAACCGGACCCCAGGGTTAGACAAGCGAACCTAGGTGGGAAGGCAGGTGTGCAGGGCCGGATTACCTGGCCTGAGCAGGCCGGAAGGCGGGAAACGAACTTTCAGGGCCCGGACTCTGCCGCCTGCTCCAGTAACCGCGAACCCCACAGCTCACCCCCTTTGTCCTGCTATGAGACAACGTGGGAGAAAAAGGCTCATTCCACTGCCTCCACCACAAAAAGGAAACCTACTACCCCGCGTGTCACAGCCCACAGCACGTAAGGCTCCACACACTCTAACACCAGTACACTGCCAGGGACCCCGCCCAGGCCGGAAGCTGGCCCGCCCCTTCCTTAGACGTCACGGAAACAAGGGGCTTTTGCCGAGATGTCCCGCCCACTTCCCTCAGACGCGCCTGGCTCACAGCTTCCTAGAATATGCCTGTTTACTTCAATTTTTTTCTCTTAGCAATGAGAACCCCTCATGTAGCATCCTTCCTTATTCTTCGCTTGAAAATCTTGCGTGATCTTTGAGCGCTAAACCCATTTTCACGGATGCAGGCGCTTTGGCAGTCCCACGGTCATGACGTCATTTTGAGCGCCGACGGAGGAAGGACCCCTGCGCTTGCATCCGCTTTAGTCTCCGCCCCCTACGCTGAGCCCTGGAGGGGCACGTGTCCTACTACATGGAGCTGGTCGCTGGTAGCTACGAGCAGGTCCTTTTTGGGTTCGCTGTACACCCGGAGCCCAAGGCGAGCGGCGACCGCCAGGTAAGCGCCGACGCACCGAGGGACCGCCGGACGTGTGGGTGGGGGAAGGTCAGGCCTGGTTCCCACACGGCCGAGGTAAACACAAAACCAGAGGTGAACACACCGTCTGATTAATTGATGAATCAAGCTCAGGAGACCTAAGTATAGGTTATCTTTTTAAAACATGAAGTAAGCATTTCATAAAACTAGGTAATGTCTATTATGGCACATATTTTTTTACTACGGTGCACAAAGAAAGCAGGCATTTCTGCGAACTCTCAAATGAGTCGTATATTATGGATTTTAAGGGTCGCTGTCATAAATTGACAGCATTTAGGTGTTCGCACTGAATCTCTGTCCTGGAGTTTTAAAAAATACTAGAACTGGGTCAGGATGACACTAGCTCATTACTGTGGACCCTTACTTGCAGTGAAGGTGCAAAGAAGCCTAAGGTATGTATCCTGCGCTAGAGATCTTCCTGACATAAGGGAGAGGAGACTGGGAGACAAATATATGGAGAAAAATTACAACAAAATATAAGTATTTTACTGGATATATGAATAAAAAATTAAGTAAATTGCCAGTAGTCAAACAGGTAATTAGGGTATACCCAGGACTACAAATAAGATCTTTTAGTCCAGGACTATTTTTTCTTCCTTAGTACTTCTAGGTATCTCTTAAAAACCTTTTTCATTGAGTGTTTCGTATTTTTTATTTTTTTATCCTCACTCAAGGACATTTTTCCATTTTTTGTACAGATAGAGTGGGAGGGAGAGAGAGGGAGAGAGAGAGAGAGAAACATCGATGTGAAAGGGACACATTGAGTGGCTGCCACCGCATGACCAACCAGGGCCGGGGACAAACTGCAACCGAAATACGTGCCCTTAGCGGGAACCGAACCCGGGTCTCTCTGGACCGCAGGCCGATGCTCTAACCGCTGAGCCAAACCGGCCAGGGCCATTGAGTGTTTCTTAATGGAAAAGTTAAGGTGTCAGTCTTGAATTAACCAGAAAATTAGAAGTATGTGACTTAACTAATTGCTTTTGTTGACTGTTTTCTGCGCTGGTTGTTAATCTCCCTTTGGTTGGAAGGTGACACGTTTTGAATATTTAAAGATGATGCTACTGATTGTGTTCTCTTTGTAATAATGTTGCTTACCATGGTCCAGACCTCACAGTTATTTAACCTCACAGCAATCCTCTGAGGCAGGTACAGTTATATCCATGTTACATATGAGGAACCTGACATTGATATAGGTTAAGTGGATTAGCAGGTGAGGTTCAGTGGTTGAGCACTGACTCATGCACCATGAGGTCACTGGTTCGATTCCCAGTCAGGGCACATGCCCAGGTTGTGGGCCAAATCCCGATGTTTCTATCTCTCTCTCTCTCCCTTTCTTTCTCTCTAAAATCAATAAAGGAAAATAAAAAAGATAGGTTAAGTGACCTCAAGGTCATACAGCTAATATTTGGCAGACCTGGGACTCAAATCCCCCAGGCATCTCTGAGCACTCGAAGCTCTTAACCATTGCCCAATGCTGCTTATACACCTAGATAGACAATAGCCCAGATAACCAACATTCCCTCTATAATACAGATATGCAAAGGTTATTCTTTTTGATTTATGGCCACAGTAGCCTCCCCCCCCCCCCCCCCAATGTTGTCTCTCTCTTTACTCAGAGGAGGCTCCTTGAGTTTTGGTTGACGGAAGGACTATCTGTTGCTGTATTTACTTAAGAATTACTTTGCAATAACACACTATAAATGTGTTCAAAGAAATTTGGTGGGATTTTTCTTCCTTGGTTGGTTTGTTTGAGTACAGTTGGCCCTCGTTTATCACGGTTAATCAGTTCCAGACTCTACTGCGATGAATGAATTTCTGCGAAGTAGGATTCTTTATTTATATACAGTTGTCCCTCGTTACTTCGCACTTCGACTTTCGTGGCTTCGCTTTATCGTGGTTTTTTCAAATACTATACTATATTAAAGTCGAAGCGTGAAGTGGCAAGGGATGACTGTAATATTTCTTGATGCATCTCTTTCATTTGGAGAGATGTGTGTGCATCTATTCTTTGCACTCAACCAATCACACTTATCCAGTCTAAACGTTACATGTCAGTAAGTGTAGAGTTCTTGAAACTTCATTGGTTAGTCTCTAGGGCTTATATTGGTACTAATAGAAACATACTATTAATCCTCTTTATTTTCTTTACAGGGCTTGTGATTATAGTTATTTCTGTGTGACATATTAATTTGTTTGTCTCTTCCACAGGAATGGCAGTTTTATTTGGAAAGGGATTTTTGTTTCTCATGTTTATTGCTATGTATCAACTGCCTAAAATGATGCCGGGCACATAGTAGTCACTTAGTTTTTGAGTAAATAAGTTCAAATCAAAATTGAACATCTAAATGAATGAAAAGTATGAGAGTCTCACATATAAGTAAATATAATAAGGAGTTAAGGATTTGTCTGGGAACTTAAAGGCCCTGTAGTCCAGTCCTCATAACTGTTTTGGAATCATGATACTCAGCATCACAGTCCCATCTCCTTGTTTTACCTTCCCTTTTCACTTATTGGGTTCTTTGTTTTTTATCCTCAGAGGATATTTTTCCATTTTTTGTACAGATCGAGTGGGAGGGAGAGAGAGGAAGAGAGAGAGAAACATCGACGTGAAAGGTACACATCGAGTGGCTGCCACCCGCACGACCAACCAGGGCCGGGGACAAACTGCAACCGAAGTACGTGCCCTTAGCGGGAACCGAACCCGGGTCTCTCCGGACCGCAGGCCGACGCTCTAACCGCTGAGCCAAACCGGCCAGGGCTCCTTTTTTTGTTGTTGTTGTTGTTCAGATAGAGTGGGAGAGAGAGAGAAATGTCGATGTGAAAGGGACACATCGAGTGGTTGCCACCCGCACGACCCAACCAGGGCTGGGGACAAACTGCAACCGAGGTACATGACCTTAGCGGGAACCGAAACCCAGGTCTCTCTGGACCGGCAGGCCGATGCTCTAACTGCTGAGCCAAACCGGCCAGGGTGGGTTCTTTGTTTTAATCTACTTTTCATTGCATAGTTTTTTTCTCCATTTGTAAGATCCTTTGGAAGTTTTCATGGATTGTGGAACCACTTATTGGTTTCTCTTTTAAATTTTTTTTTTCTTTATTGATTTTTTTAGAGAGGGAGCGAGAGACAGAAACATCAATGAGAAAAAACATCAATTGGCTGCCTCCTGCATGCCCCCCACTGGGGATCAGGCCCACAAATTGGGCATGTGCCCTGACCAGGAATGGAGCTGGTGACCTCTTGGTGCATGGGTCGATGCTCAGCCACTGAGCCACACCGGCCAGGCCCACTTATCAGTTTCTAGAGATCTCTGATATAATTGTGACATTGATTGTATGTTTTACTCTTCAGCAGAAATGGACTCCTGTGGCTGATTTTACTCACCATGCCCACACGGCCTCCTTGTCAGCGGTGGCTACAAATAGTCGTTTTGTAGTCACTGGAAGCAAAGATGAAACAATTCATATTTATGACATGAAAAAGAAGATAGACCATGGGGCTCTAGTGCATCACAATGGTAAGAAATGATATCCTCCCAGGAGTGGGGAACCTTTTTTCTGCCAAGGACCACTTGGATATTTATAACATCATTCGTGGGCCATACAGAATTATCAACTTAAAAATTAGCCTACTGCCCTGGCCGGTTTGGCTCAGCGATTAGAGCATCGGCTGGCAGACCAGAGAGACCCGGGTTTGGTTCCTGCTAAGGGCATGTACCTCGGTTGCAGTTTGTCCCTGGCCCTGGTTGACGTTGTGTGGGTGGCAACCAGTCAGTGTGTCTCTCACATTGATGTTTCTCTCCCTCTCTTCCTCTCACTCTATGTGAAGATAAATGCAAAAATGTCCTAGGGTGAGGATTTAAAAAAAAATTAGCCTACTATATTTGGTTAGGACAATTTGGTGAGGCGTGTGCTATTAGCTGGTATTGATTTAGTGGGCCTTATGTGGTCCGTGGGCTGGACGTTCCTCATCCCTGCAAAGTAAAAGTGTTGAGGTATTATTACTTTTCAGTTTGACTTCACTTGCACAATTCATTAAGCAGATTCTGTGCTAGGAATTACAGAAATGAAAAAAATGTGGTTCTTTGTCCTTAAGTTGTTCACAATCTGTACTGAGAGACAGAAAGGAAGCATTTAACTATCTGGGGGGAAGGGGAAGGAAATGAATTTTCACTGAAAACTTCCTTAAAATGACAGCTGAATTACCTTAAAAGAGAAACACCAGCTGTTAGCCAGGTAAAGTTTGCAAAGAGGGAGAGGGCATTCCATGCAGAGTAGGCAGTGTGAGGAGCATAAGTAGCAGCATCATACTGATAGCTAATTTTAATGAAGGGGTATTAGGTACCCAGCAGTGTGCCAAAAAGGTACATTGTATTTTCAGTTTGTAGAAGAGAAAACCTTGGTTCAAAGATGTTACATGACTTGCCCAAGGTCACAAAACAGTGGAACTAGAACTTGAACCTAGGTCTAAAGCCCATGTTTTTAA